AAACAAGACCTAGATATAGTTTGTACTCATAGGCCTCTCTCCCAATCTCTCTGTCTCTCTGTCTCTGTCTTTGTCTCTGTCTCTCTCTGTCTCTGTCTCTCTCTCTCTTCTCTTTCTCTCTCTCTCTGTTGTGTAGGCCTTGAATTCAGGGCCTGGGTGCTGTCCCTGTGCTTTTTATTTTATTTATTTTATTTTTTTTTTTTGTCAGTCGTGGGGCTTGAACTCTGGGCTTGGGCACTGTCTCTGTACTCTTCAGCTCAAAGCTGAATGCTCTACAGCTTGAGCCAGAGCACCACTTCTGGTTTGCTAGTGGTTTATTGAGATCAGAGTCTCAGACTTTCCTGCTTGAGCTGGCTTTGAACCATGATCCTCAGATCTCAGCCTCCTGAATAGCTAGGATTACAGGTATGAGCCACTGGCACCTGGCTTGCTTTTTATTTTTTCTTGCTCAAGGCTAGCACTCTACCACTTGAACCATACCTCCAATCACTACTTCCAGATTTTGCTGGTTAATAGGAGATAAGAATATCATGGCGCTGAGAAGGTGGCTCAGTGGCAGAGCGCTTGCCTTGCATGCTTGAGGCCCTGGGTTCGATTCCTCAGCACCACATAAGCAGAAAAAAAAAAAGCCGGAAGTGGTGCTGTGGCTCAAGTGGTAGAGTGCTAGTCTTGAGCTGAAGAGCTGAGGGACAGCACCCAGGTCCAGAGTTCAGGCCCCACAACCGGACCAAAAAAAGAGTATCATGACTTAAAGGAGGAGGCAACAATGCTTGATAAGAAATGTACTCATGGGGCTGGGAAGGTGGCTCGGTGGTAGAGCACTTGCCTTGCATGCTCGAGGCCCTGGGTTCGATTCCTCAGCACCACATAAGAAAAAAGCCGGAAGTGGCGCTGTGGCTCAAGTGGTAGAGTGCTAGCCTTGAGCTGAAGAGCTGAGGGACAGTGCCCAGGCCCAGAGTTCAGGCCCCACGACTGGACCAAAAAAAAAAAAAAAAAAGAAATGTACTCATTACCTTGCTCATGTAATTGCAACCCCTCTGTTTTTGTTTTTGGTTTTTTTGTCAGTCGTGGGCCTGAACTCTGGGCCTGGGCACTGTCCCTCAGCTCTTCAGCTCAAAGCTAGTTCTCTACCACTTGAGCTACAGTGCCACTTCTGGCTTTTTCGGCTTATGTAGTGCTGAGGAATTGAACCCAGGGCCTCATGCATGCAAAACAAGCACTCTACCACTGAGCTCCTCTGTACAGTATTTTCACAATAAAAAAGTTATTTAAAAAATCATGGACTTGTGGGGCTGGGCATGTGGCTTAGTGATAGAGTTTTTCCCTAGCATGCATTAAGCCCTGTCTTCGATTCCTCAGTACCACATAAACAGAAAAGGCCTAAGGTAGTGCTGTGGCTCAAGTGGTAGAATGCTAGCCTTGAGCAAAAGAAGCTCAGGGACAGTGTGCAGGCCCTGAGTTCAAGCACTAGAACTAGAATATATATATATATATATATATATATATATATATATATATATATATTTATCATGGACTTGCCAGGTGTCAGTGGCTCATGCCTGTAATCCTAGCAACTCAGAAGCCTGAGACCGAAGGATCATGGTTCAAATCCAGCCCAGGCAAGAAATTCCGTAAGACTGTTATCTCCAATAAACTACCTGAAAACCAGAAGAGGTACTGTGGCTTAAGTAGTAGAGCACACTAGCCTTGAGCTCAAGAGCTGAGGGACAGTTCCAAGGCCCAGAGTTCAAGGCCCATGTGATGCACTGGTACTGGGGCATGAATTCAGGGTCTTCTGCTTAGCTTTTCCCCCTCAAGGCCTGGTGCTCTACCACTTGAGCTACACCTTGATTTCCAGCCTTTTGCTGGTTAATTGGAGAGTGTCTCTCTGACTTGTCTGCCTAGGTTGGCTGAAAACCAGGGATCCTCTGATATCAGCCTCCTGAGTAGGTAGGTTTACAGGTATGAGCTACTGGCACTGGCTTGATCGCATTAATTCATAATTTAATTCTCATTTAATCTTCAAATAAACCATGTAAGCATGATTTACCTCTTACCCCAGGGCTCTGGATATATAACCTAACCTCTCCAACTCTACAGGAATATTAATAGTATCTTCCTCTTAAATTGTTATGGAAATTAAGAGATATGTCATCTATAGAAGTTGGACTAGGACTTCTTTTTTCAGGGGTGTTGATCAAATCCAGGGCTCTACACATGCTAGGCAAGCACTCTGTCACTGAGCTACACTCCCAGCTTCATTTTTTTTGCTTATAGGTGGCACTCTTAACACTTGAGCCATGACTCCAGTTTTGACTTTTTGCTTGTTAATTAGGGATAAGGGCCTTGAGGATTTGTCTGCTAGGGCTGGCATTGAATGACAATGCTTAGATATCAGTCTCCTGAGTAGCCAAGATTACAAGCACTGATGCCCCTTCCCCAGTGGGCTAATACTTTCAATAGTTATTTAGATAGATTAGTTTATGAACTTTATTCAAAGACTAGAGAGTGTTTATTACATACCAATAACTTTTTTTTTTTTTTTTTGTCGGTTGTGGGGCTTGAACTCTGGGCCTGGGTGCTGTCCCTGAGCTCTTCAGCTCAAGGCTAGCCCTCTATCACTTGAGTTACAGTGCCACTTCTGGTTTTCTAGTGGTTAATTGGAGATAAGAGTCTCACGGACTTGGGGCTGGGAAGGTGGTTCAGAGGTAGAGCACTTGCCTTGCACGCATGAGGCCCTGGGTTCGATTCCTCAGCACCACATAAGCAAAAAGAAAAAAGCTGGAAGTGGCGCTGTGGCTCAAGTGGTAGAGTGCTAGTCTTGAGCTGAAGAGCTGAGGGACAGCACCCAGGCCCAGAGTTTAAGGCCCACAACCAACAAAAAAAAGAGTCTCTTGGATTTTTGTGCCCCAGCTGGCTTTGAACTGTGATCCTCAGATCTCATCCTCAGTAGCTAGGATTACAGGCGTGAGCCACAGGCATCTGACTTACCAACAACTTTTAAATATAAATATTAGGATTATAGATGAAAATATTAGGATTATGATTGAAAAAACAGATAAAAGTCTATAGAGAAAGGAGAAAACAAGTAAAATGTATAGTGTGCCAGATACTGCTAAGTGTCATTAAGAAAGACAGCAGAGCCGGTGGCTCAGGCCTGTAATCCTAGCTATTCAGGAGGCTGAGATCTGAGGATCGAGGTTCAAAGCCAGTCCAGGCAGGAAAGTCCATGAAACTCTTATCTCCAATAAACCACCAGAAAAAACGGAAGTGGCACTATAGCTCAAGTGGTAGAGCACTAGCCTTGAGCTGAAGAGCTGAGGGACAGCATTCAGGCCCAGAGTTCAAGGACTACAACTGACAAAAAAAAAGAAAGGCAGCAAAAAACAGGGTTAGAAGACATGAAGATAGATCACTGTGATAGAGGTGGTCATCTGTACATATATACTTAATTTTTTTATTGAAAGATGATGTACAGATGGGTTACAGTTTTGTGTCAGTCCTAGCTAGGCCTTGAATTCAGGGCTTGAGCACTGTCTCTGAGCTTTTTTACTCAGAGATAGTGCTCTACCACTTGAGCCACAGTTCCACTTCTAGTTATTTGGTGATTAACTGGAGATAAGAGTTTCTTTTACATTCCTGCCTGACTTCAAACTGCAATCCTCAGATCAAGGTTTCCTGAGTAGCTAGGATTACTAGCATGAGCCACTGGTGCCTAGTGGTGGTTATGTTTTGAGAAGGATGGCAGAGGAGGGCTTCTCAGGTAAGGTAACATTTGAATTGAGAATTGGAGGAGACCAGGAGGAAATCATGTGGATATCTTGGAGAAGAACCTTTCAGCGTCCAGGCCCTTGGTGTTAATCAGTGTAGATATAGTAGAAAGGAGGGGGGCTGGGAATGTGTCTTAGTGGTAGAGTGCTCACCTAGCATGCATGAAGCCCTGGGTTCAATTTCCCAGTACCACATAAGCAGAAAAAGGCTGGAAGTGGTGCGGTGGTTCAAGTGGTAGAGTGCTAGCCTTGAGCAAAAGACTGGCAATAAAGAAAAGAAAGGAGGGTAGATGAGATCAGAGAAAGATCAGAGGAACTTTTAGGGCTCTGTACAAATTTTGGCTTTTACCCTTAGTAAGAAGAGAAGCCAGGCTGGGAAGGTGGCTCAGTGGTAGAGCGCTTGCCTTGCATGCATGAGGCCCTGGGTTCGATTCCTCAGCACCACATAAGCAAAAAGAAAAATCCGGAAGTGGTGCTGTGGCTGAAGTGGTAGAGCGCTAGCCTTGAGCTGAAGAGTTGAGGGACAGCGCCCAGGCCCAGAGTTCAGGACCCACGACCGGACCCAAAAAAAAAAAAAAAAAAAAAGTAAGAAGAGAAGCCACTGCAGAGTCTCCAGGACATAAAATATTGAGACCAGCAGGAGATTAAATAACATTTCCAAGGTAGGACAGCTGATGGTTGCAGATGATGGGAGTTGAGTTCACGAGGACTGAAAAGTCTTAACCCTACTATGCCACTGAACTTTAGTCTTTTTTATTTGGGCCTTGTTCTCCTGTGACTTCACACAAAGAAACCGGGACGTGGAAAAGTGATGTGGCTAGCCTAAAGCCACACAGCTGGGAAGTGATAGTATTACAGGAGTCTGAGAATAGGTGCAGCCCACGTCGAAGTTCTTTACACCACATCGCCTCCCTCAGGTGTCTGGACCATACTGATGGCAGGGAGGTCGACCCAGGAGCCAGCTCGGCTTAGGGGCGCGGGCGTTCATCAGGAAGTTGCAGGTCCAGGCTCGGAGGAACGGCAGACATCTTCCCTAGGCATGGCACTAGGGGAAAGAGAGAAACTCGCCTTCATTTCGGGTTGGCAGCGTCCGAACCAGGAACATCCAGCGCCTTAAACTCCCGTCACCGGTTTCCTCACCCAATAACAGCTCAGCGTGCCGGAGATGGGCGTGGCCAGGAAGGTACACGGGCGGGGCTTCGCCGCCGCACCCCCGTCACGTGACGGGGCCATCATGGCGGCCGCCAGAGGCCAGTCCAGCGTCCCGGAAGCAGGCTGCGAGGGGCGGGCACGCTGCTGGAACCCGAGAGCTGCGGGAGCCAGAGCGGGGAGGGCTGCCCGGCGGCCTGGAGCCGGACCTGTCCGGAACGTCCCCGCAGCCCGGGGCAGCAGGTGAGAACAGATGTGGTGGTGCGGGGCCGGGGCTAGGGGGCGCCGGGTGGGTGACCGGGACCGGGCGCGTGGGGGAAGGCGGGGGATCCGAGACGCCCGCGCGAGACAGAAGCAATGGAAAGGCCGCGTTCTAACACCCGATGTCGAGACGCTGAGGGAAAACAAAAGGGGCTACCCAGCCGGGATGGAAGGCAGCTTGCAGAAGCTGCTGTGGAGGAGGGAAGCGGCCCCTTCTGAACCCGCGGGACCGGGTTTATTGAAGGGACTCCCTCTTTGGCGATGCCAGGCAAGGGTAGGGCACATGTTCAGGCCTCTTCCGTGGCCTCCTACCCCACCCTGCCTCACAGTGTCCTAAGAGAGACAGCTCTGGCGGGGCCACTCCTCCCCACCTACCCAACTGGTCCCTCCAGTCTGAGCTCTGGTGGAGTGGAGCTGGCCGGGGGAGTTGGGTGGAGCTACCTTCTGCTTGGACACCCAGGCCCTTTGACTGTGCTTCCTGGACCATGGATGTAACTCTGACCTCTCCCCCTCTCTCCCCAGGTCGTCCGGGGGCCCACCATGCTTGTGACTGCTTACCTATCTTTTGTGGGCCTCCTGGCCTCCTGCCTGGGATTGGAGCTGTCAAGATGCCGGGCTAAACCCCCTGGAAGAGCCTGCAGCAATCCCTCCTTCCTTCAGTTTCAATTGGACTTCTATCAGGTCTACTTCTTGGCCCTGGCAGCTGACTGGCTCCAGGCCCCTTACCTCTACAAACTCTATCAACATTACCATTTCTTGGAAGGTCAAATTGCCATCCTCTATGTATGTGGCCTGGCTTCCACAGTCCTCTTTGGCCTAGTGGCCTCCTCCCTTGTGGATTGGCTGGGTCGCAAGAAATCTTGTGTCCTCTTCTCCCTCACTTACTCTCTATGCTGCTTAACCAAACTCTCTCAGGACTACTTTATATTGCTGGTGGGCCGAGCACTAGGTGGACTGTCCACTGCACTCCTTTTCTCAGCTTTTGAAGCCTGGTACATCCATGAGCATGTGGATCGGCACGACTTCCCTGCTGAGTGGATCCCAGCTACATTTGCCCGAGCAGCCTTTTGGAACCATGTGCTGGCTGTTGTGGCAGGTGTGGCAGCTGAAGCCGTGGCTAGCTGGATGGGCCTGGGGCCTGTAGCACCCTTTGTGGCTGCCATCCCCCTCCTAGCTCTGGCTGGGACGTTGGCCCTCCGAAACTGGGGAGAGAACTATGACCGGCAGCGTGCCTTCTCAAGGACCTGTGCTGGAGGGCTGCGCTGCCTCCTGTCGGACCGTCGAGTGCTACTGCTGGGCACCATACAAGCCCTGTTTGAGAGTGTCATCTTCATTTTTGTCTTCCTGTGGACACCTGTGCTGGACCCACATGGAGCCCCCTTGGGCATTGTCTTCTCCAGCTTCATGGCAGCTAGCCTGCTAGGGTCTTCCCTGTACCGAATCGCTACCTCCAAGAGGTACCACCTTCAGCCCATGCACCTGCTCTCTCTTGCTGTCCTCATTGTCGTCTTCTCTCTCTTCATGTTGACTTTCTCCACTAGCCCAGGCCAGGAGAGTCCAGTGGAATCCTTCATTGCCTTTCTGCTTATCGAGTTGGCCTGTGGGCTATACTTTCCCAGCATGAGCTTCCTGCGGAGGAAAGTGATCCCTGAGACAGAGCAAGCTGGTGTACTCAACTGGTTCCGGGTGCCACTGCATTTACTGGCCTGCCTAGGACTCCTTGTCCTCCATGATAGTGATCGAAAAACAGGCACTCGGAACATGTTCAGCATCTGCTCTGCTGTCATGGTGATGGCTCTGCTGGCAGTGGTGGGACTCTTCACCGTGGTAAGGCACGATGCCGAGTTGCGGGTGTCCTCATCCACTGGGGAGCCCTATGCCTCGGAGCTCTAACCCTGTTTAGGACAAGGGATCTGGGATGGAATCTTGAATCCCTCATCTTCAGGGTTGTACAGAACTCTGTGACTCATTTTGTGACTCTGTTCTGCCACCCCTCCTGCTTTTGTGTTGGGATGGACATGGGGTGATGGACTCAAAGGACGGTGCCAAAAGTTGACTCGGTGTTACTCCCTGTGCCCTTGCCATTTAAAAATAAACATTTTTAGTGGACCATTGATTCAGTTTCCTCATCCTCACCTGTTGTCACCTCAGTAGTTTCTGATAAATAAGCAGCTAGAGGTTTTAAGATAGATATAGAAATACCAGAGAAAGGTTGTGTTTCTCCAAATCTGTCTTCAATTTAAACTTGGAGCTAAGCAGCATCCCTTCAGCAGAACTCATTGGGAAGGGCTTGAGGCTCCTAGGTCTTCCACATCTCTTGTTTTGTTTTTATGCTGGTCCTAGGGCTTGAAGTCAGGAACTAGGCACTGTCCCTGAGCTTTTTTTGCCCAAGGCTAACACTCTACCACTCAAGTTATAGCCCCACTTCCAGCTTTTTTGGTAGTTAGTTGAAGATAAGAGTCTCCCAGCTGGGCACTGCTGGCTCCGCCCATAATCCTGCTCTTCAGGAGGCTAAAATCAAAATCTGAGCTTCAGCTGGGTGCGGGTGGCTCACGCCTGTAATCCTAGCTATTCAGGAGGCTGAGATCTGAGGATCTCGGTTCAAAGCCAGCCTGGGCAGGAAAGTCCGTGAGACTCTTATCTCCAATAAACCACTAGAAAACCAGAAGTGGCGCTGTGGCTCAAGTGGTAGAGTGTTTGCCTTGAGCTGAAGAGTGCAGGGACAGCGCCCAAGCCCAGAGTTCAAGCCCCACGACCAACCAAAAACAAAACAAAATCTGAGCTTCAAGGTTCAAAGCCAGCCCAGGCAGAAAAGTCCATGAGACTCTTAGCCAATTAACCACCAGAAAACTGGAAGTGGCACTATGGCTTAAAGTGATATTACACTAGCCTTGAGCAAAAAGAGCTCAGGGACAGTGTCCAGGCCCCGAGTTCAAGACCCACAGCCTCTGATCTTAGCCTCTCGATTGGCTAGGATTACAGGCATGAGCCGCCAGCACCCAGCTGACATCTCTTAAGTTTTGTTTTATTTTTTTGGTAGTACTGGGATTTGAATTCAGGGTCTCCAGACTAGTGCTATGCCCCTAGTGCCCTCATATCAAGTTGTCATGCAAGCCCCTCATTCCATATCCAGAAATTGGGCACATGCCCAACGTGTCAGGCCACTAAAGAAAGATTCCAAGGAGCTTGGGCTTCTATTATGCCCATTCCTTAGGGAAAAATATGGTTCTTGCTGTGGGTAAACTTACAACTCAGCACATGCCTGCTGCCTGCCCTCTGCCTCTGGTGGCTATAAATGTATGTCTTCCAGCATGAAACCCATGTGAAAGGCCAAGAGACTGGGACATCATGTCTGTACCTGATTCTTCCACACCCAGCCTGAGTGAGGGTGAGGGAACCATCTGGGCAGGAAATAGTACCAGTGAGAACACCAGTTCTGTGGGCCCCTCCTTGCCTTGCTTTTGATTGTATCTGCCTTCCCTCCTCCCACCAGAGCAAGGCTTCTCAGAGGAAGCAGAGCCAGCTTTAAGAAGGGTGGGGATGGAGGGAGTGTGGATAAAAGGTGTGTCTTGGAATGTGCTTGAAATGGGCATGGGGGACCCACCTGTTCTGGAAAGGGGGTGACAACTTTCGCTTGGGTCTTAACACTCCTCCCCAGACAGGAAAATTCAAGATCTTGCAAGTCCAGCAAGTCTTAACCTGTGAGGAGAGAGGGTGCTATAGAAAGGGAGGGTGGAGGGATTCAGGCAGGGGAAGGCTAGGGGAGGAATATCAGTGCCCTCAGATTCCTACTCAGCAGAAAATTCACATGATCTCCCCCCCCCCCCCCCCCCCCCCCCCCCCCGCGCTACAGAGGTTAAGGTTAATTAGAAAAATGAGGTGTCGTTTTCTTCTATCATCTTCAGATAAAGCCTGGCTTGGACTAACTCTACTTCCGCTTTCTGCTGAGCTAGACTTAAATATGTTTTGTTTTGTTTTGATGTTTTGTTTTTTTTTGGTTGGTCTTGGGGCTTAAACTCTGGGCCTGAAGAGCTGTATCTCAGCTCTTCAGCTCAAGGCTAGCACTCTACCACTTGAGCTACAGCCACACTTCCAGTTTTCTGGTAGTTTGTTGGAGATAAGAATCTCTTGGCCTTTCCTGCCCAGGCTGGCTTTGAACCGCTATCCTCAGATCTCAGCCTCCTGAGTAGCTAGGATTACAGGTGTGAGCCACAGGCGCCGGGCTTAAATATGTTTTATAGGTAGAGGTAGATTTCCCATCTATGGTCATGGTCTTTTTGAGGGCAGAAGAAAAACTCTTAACCTTTGTCTCCCCTGTATGTATACACAAGTGGGTGCTTTACCCAGGGCTGGGCTTAGTACACGTTTGGAGAAGAGAGACAATCTAGGTCATACTGTGTGTGTATGTGCGTGTGTGCGTGCGTGTGTGCATGCGTGCATGCGCGCTGCTCCTGGGGTTTGAACTCAGAGCCTGAAACTGGCCCTCTTTTTGCTCATGGCTAGCACTCTGCCGCTCACCACTTGAGCAATAGCTCCACTTCCAGCTTTTTTGCAAGTTTATTGGAGATAATAGTCTCATGAAAGCCAAAGGCATATGCCCATAATCCTAGCTACTTAGGAGGCTGAGATGTGAGGATTACTGTTCAAAGCCAACTCAGGCAGAAAAGTCTCCATGAGACTCTTACCTCCAATTAACCACTCAAAAATCAGAAGTGGAGCTGTGACTAATGTGGAAGAGTGCTAGTCTTGAGCAAAAGAGCTCAAGGACAATGCCCAGGCCCATAGTTCAAGCACCATGACCAAAAAAAAATTTCATGAATATTCCTTCCCTGGCCTGGGTATGAGCTGTGATACTTAGATCTCAACCTTTTAAGTAGCTAGGATTACAGACACGAGCCACTCACACCCAGCTATATCTAGCTTTTCTTTTTTTTTTTTTTCCTTTTCTTTTTTTTTTGTTTGGGTCCAGTTGTGGGGCCTGAACTCTGGGCCTGGGCGCTGTCCCTCAGCTCGTCAGCTCAAGGCTAGCGCTCTACCACTTGAGCCACAGCGCCACTTCCAGCTTTTTTCTTTTTGCTTATGTGGGGCTGAGGAATCGAACCTACGGCTTCACACATGCAAGGCAAGCGCTCTACCACTGAGCCACCTTCCCAGCCCTACATCTGGCTTTTTCAAGAGCCACCCCTGATGATTAGTCTAGAATCTTTGGAGATGAATAGAATTTTTGGAGACGACAGTAATATTTATTGGAGCCATGAGTGGCTCTAATAATCACATTCCTAAGTAATAAGGAAATAGGAAACAGGCGCTGGTGGCTCACACCTGTAATCCTAGCTACTTAGGAACCTGAAATCAAGGACCATGGTTCAAAGCCCAGGCAGGAAAAGCTGTGAAACTCTTATCTCTAATAAACTACTCAGTAAAAGCAGGAAGTGGTGCTGTGGCTCAAGTGGTAGAACACTAGCCTTGAGCTGAAGAGCTGAAGGACAGCGCACAGGCCTAGAGTTCAAATCTCACAACCAAAAAGAAAAAAAAGAAAAAAGAAGTAGGAGGACAGAGGTGCTAAATGAGATTCCTTTAGCTTTGTCCCTGCTAAGCTTGCTTCACAAGGGCTGGTGGCAAATAGAGTGGAAGGTGTTCTTTCTGTCAGTGTGGTAAGAGCTGGAAGGCAGACCATTTTTTATTGATGTCAGATGCCAGTGGTTCATGCCTGTTATCCTTGCTACTCAGGAGGCTGATCTCGGAGGTATAGGTTCTAAGAAAGCCTGGGTAGAAAAGTTCATGAGATTCTTATCTCTGATTAACCAGCAAAAAGCTGAAAGTGGACCTGTGGCTCAAGTGGTGGTAGAGTGCTAATCTTGAGTGAAGAAACCAAGCAAGAGCATGAAGCCCTGAAATTTAAGCACCAAAAATAAAATTTCCAGCTCTCTTTTTTTTTTCTGTCGGTTGTGGGGCTTGAACTCGGGGTCTGAGCACTGTCCCTCAGCTCTCCAGCTCAAGGCTAGGTTCTACCACTTGAGCTACAGCGCCACTTCTGGTTTTCTGGTGGTTAATTGGAGATAAGAGTCTCAGGGACTTTCCTGCCTGGGCTGGCTTTGAACCGACATCCTCAGATATCAGCCTCCTGAGTAGCTAGGATTACAGGCATAAGCCACCGGCGCCTGGCTTCCAGCTCATTTTTTTTTTTTTTTTTTTGCCAGTCCTGGAGCTTGAACTCGGACTGGGCACTGCTCCTGAGCTTCTTTTGCTCAAAGCTAGCATTCTACTAGTTGAGACACAGTGCCACCTCCAGCTTTTTCTGTTTATGTGGTACTGAGGAATCAAACCCAGGGCTTCACACATGCTAGGAGAACACAGTAAGCCACATCCCAGCCCAAGATTACCAGCTTTTTACTGAGTACCTACTATTGCCATGTGTGGTGATTTTTTTTTTTACCCAAGAGGAAAATCCTACATGCTAAGGGCTTGTAGCAGATGAGCAGCAAAACTGACTAACTCTTGCCCAGTGCCCCTTCTATGATGTGTGTTGTGTCATGAGCCCTCAACTACCTGCCATTTAGTATCTAGCTGCTCCTGCATGCCAAGCTCTGTCCCTGGAGATAGGTGAGAGCATTTAGACTTGACAATTCAGTCCATATGTCTTGGAGGAATCAATTTACCAGAGACACACCACCTACAAAACCCGTGATGCTCTGCTTGAGGACGCACAGGAAAGAGCATGAATCCAGGGCAGGGGTGAGGCTCAGTTAAGAGTGTACTTACCTAGTATACACAGGACCCTGAATCTGACCACCAGCATAAAAATAAAAAGCATGAGCCGGGCGCTGGTGGCTCATGCCTGTAATCCTAGCTACTCAAGAGGCTGAGATCTGAGGATCGCGGTTCAAAGCTAACCCAGGCAGGAGAGAGCGTAAGACTCCTATCTCCAATAAACCACCAGAAAACCGGAAGTGGCGCTGTAGCTCAAGTGGTAGAGCGCTCGCCTTGAGCTAAAGAGCTGAGGGACAGCGCCCAGGCCCAGAGTTCAAGCCCCACTACCGACCAAAAATAAATAAATAAATAAAATAAAAATAAAAAGCATGATGGGCTAGGAATGTTGCTCAGTGGTA